AATAGAAGCCATCACGCTAGACAAGGCTTGACTACAAACATTTCAAAATTTTTGGCTCTTTGGGTGTAACATTCGAGGAGAAATTGGCTTTCAACAACTGCAAAATTTCTGGGTGGCAAAAGCGCTAATGAGCTCATACTAAGATTCTTTGTAAAATTTTGAGTTTTTAAACAGGCGTAACGCAAAAAGTGTTCAATAAATCGGGCTTAAATTCCTCGGGACATTTTAATTATGCTATGCCCTTTCACTATTTAAAACTTATGTTTCTCTAGCCTCGTCAGAAACTGTATCGCTTATGCTAATGAGGCAAATATTGTAAACAAAGATTCTCCTATATCAGAAAGATATGACAGCACACATAATGCTTCGTCGCCCTCGTAGCTGCTTGCTACTACCTCATCGATTAACATGGTGACTTGGTGCTCTTCAAGATTTAATACACCATTAGCAAAGTCAGTTTTCTATTTAGAATAGACAGCAGCTTTCTTTATTTATAAAGCGAGTGTGCCTAATTTATAAAAGGTGTTTGTAAACCTTTCACGATCAGGTTTTAGGTTAAGCTCTATAGTTTGCGGGATAAAATCTCCAATTTGTTAAACGCTTCCAGAAAACGAAATTCTGCGTTTAATTTCCTCTCTGGGTTTTTCCTAATTAAAGTGCGTATGAAGTAAAAAATAATTGCTGCTTATTTGAAAGGCTTTTCAAAGTAGAGAAGAATGGTGTTTCCCTTTTTGGAATATCTTTTTTCGTTCTAGAGATATTGACGTTTTAGTATTATGCAAATAAGGAAAGTGATGACGTCATTGGTGGTTCCACTTGAACAGTAAAACACTGAATCAAGAATAACTCTAGAAATATTGAAGCAGTGTTCTTCAAACTTGGCACCACAGATTTCAGATTTCAGATTCAGATTTTTTATGTGCATCACAAAAGAAACAGAAAAACACCTTCTGTGTTGTTGCCATGGCAACACTTTTGGCTCCAGTCTCTTTCTGTGAAAAACCAAATCTGCCAATTTGCAACCCTTCGAAAAGGCTCGGAACACGCATGATTCCCATATTGTCTTAACTCTACCCACTAGATTGTTGGGAGTGGATGATCCTTGTTTAAGATAAAATCTGGTAATGTTAGTTTTAATTAAAACAGGTCCAGCGGTCTAACTGTTGTCATGGTGACGGCATGACGGGTGTCATTTTGTTTCTTTTGCGATGTACATTTTTGATGCCAAGTTTAAAGAACACTGCTTTAATATTTCTAGAGATATTCTTGATTGAGTGTTGCAATGTTTTAATGGAACCATCTATGACGTTATTACTTAAAGGTCGTGGACAAACATGTTGAGCTCGAGAGCTATAACTGATCTTCCCCTACTCTTCTCGCTTACCAATGTTAACATTTCTCATTCGGAAATGTTTTAATCTTTGTATTCAGCTTTTATCTAACAGCTATCGATATGCACATCTTTTTCTGGAAGACAGCAGGTAAAATTCTATAAGCGACAATTCCAGTGACATCTTGGTATTGTTGTGACGAATTATGTTTAGATTCAATCGCTTGAGTACAAGAGCGACCAAAAAAGGTTTGTAAACCCTCTCAAGTGTCGGTAAATTAAACCTTTTTTTTGTCAAATTTCCTTCCACTCTCTATTTTTGAATTGCCCATAATTCACTCTCTTTTCCCCCCCAAATTTTGCATAAACTTGTGAAATGCTCTTGGGATTATGCAGACCTCCCTAAAGTATTTTACAACAATAGTTTATGTAAAATTGGGGGGGACAAACAGAGTGAACTATGGGCAATTGGAAAATAGAATATTGCAAGCATAGATATCCTTATTTGAGCTAATAAAAGTGAAAACAACTTAGCAACACACCTATCCGGCATAATGATATCTGCATAAATTCTGTAGAATCCAAAGAAGGAAAGTTTTCCTTTACAAGTCTGGAAGTTTCTTTACGATTTTTTTTTTCGCAAACGTTTAATGGGCAATCTAAAGATGTCTTAGTTTTCAGTCATCAAAAGGCTTTTCAGTTTATATTTCGGGTTGCTTGTAGGGCCACTGCGCTGCAACCTCAAACAACGTTTTACTCGATCAAACCGCCGACGATCTCTGTTCTAAAGCTCCCATCTTGTAACTTAACTTGTTTGAAGCCGGGAACCAAATCAAATTGACAGAACCGAAAAGATGACTCTCATGATAAAATAAATAAAGACACAGCTGCGATGACAAAGCTATAGAACAGAATCGAGAGCTTGCAAAATGTTTTACCAATTATTGCCATTGTTTTAATTCAGCGAAAATTTGCAATCTGTTTCATGGATCAGTGAGTTATAATCAAACCCCAGAAGCGATTCCCAGTGAGCATAAATTTGTTAGCACGTCATCAATACACTTCCTCAGTTCACAAAAAAGAGAATCGAAAACTGAAAAATAAAGCTTAGCTGTAAAAAGTGACCGGTGGTAAAATTGTGGCATGATATAGATATTTCTTACCTTATCCGAAGCAGAAATTTGAAAGAAGAGACATCCGAGGTACTCTGTGTTGGACTCTGAAATATGTATTGACTAAGTGATCTTAAATTAATACACCCAGGGCTAAGCATTGTTGAGGTATCATCTTTATTGGATCTTCTCTGTCATTTATTAATTTTCTTTGAATAGAGATCATCAATATTTACTTTGATATTAAATGGATGACATCTGCCTGACTTCTGTTTTTCACAACATAATTGGAAATACTTCACCTGTCTTCATTGCTTTTTCTCGTCCTGTTTTCTTTTACTGTTCTAAATTAAACTTAGCAGACTTAATCTCAGTGAACTGTGAAATGATGATCTTTCGTTTATAACAAGACTTTCTCTTCATGCTGTAAATTTAGAGAGGGGTGGTGGGTGGCAAAAAATTGATATGGCGCGAAATTTTTCTATGTAGTTGCTTCGACAATGTTACGAGGATTAATCGATTTTACCCTTAAGTAATCTCCTCTCCTCACCAATGCTAGTATTTGCTCATCCCGAACCTATTATTATTATTATTATTATTATTATTATTATTATTATTGTTATTATAATTTTTTTTTTTTTT